CAGTCCGTGAGGGCATTCCTATAATTCTATTTTTAACAAATAATTTTTTTCTATATTTTTTAGAGGCAAACATTTTAGCAAAGTATGATATATAGAAAAAATGAGAGAAAATTAAAATACTTAGACATTCTTTCAACCCATCCAACATGTTTTTATCCGATCTATTTTGTTAGACTCACCAAGGAGGAGGTATGATGCGAAATCTGATTCATTTAACAAGCATCACCATCTCAGTAATGAAAACTTCGACCGGTTAAAATTTGCTAATTTTCATATTTCATGGTTTACAAAAATCCAATCAAACTTAGTTTTTTAGAATCCTCAAAATTTCATATAGACCACCAACCAAACATACCATTTTCTTTACCAGGTACTCAAATTTCTACGTTTTAGATAATAAAAGTGGAAATTTTCAATTATAATTTCAGATTCTAGTTGTCAAACCCCCCCTATAGGCTTACATTTAAGGTGGTTTAATGGGATGAAATATTACACTTGATTTTGCAAGCAAAACACTCTGAAATCCAGAGTAATTTTATGACAAGAAAGTTTAACAATCATCTTTGACTCACCTTGTTTTAAATCACCATGTGATCAATTTCTAAAATGAAAAACTAACTTTCAGCTAATAAAACCCTAGACCATCAAATGAACAGTGTGGGTCAAATTTGGAGGTGGAACAGTTTTGGAGGATTTGGTGAAAAAATGAGGAGGGATGTAGAATTTCTATGTTTTGATTGCATAAACACAAAAAAAACAAAAGAAAATAGCCCTTTTGATTCTTAGATGGGACTTGGGCCTTTTCCCACTTATCTCGATTCAACTCGAGCCGTTCTGAGTTGAAGTGGAGTTTTTTTTAAACCTTGATTCACATGGTCAGAATGATATAATAAACATGAGGTCATCTTCGTCCCACCAAGCGTTGAATATTGGAGGGACTGGGTATCACCCAAAAATTTATTAATTAATATATGTGCACTCCCCCTATATCATCATTCAACTCATCATTTTGATGTTAATAATCTATGGACCTGGTTTTTATGCGGCCAAGCCAAAGCCGCATATGTACAATGCTTATTAATAAATCTATTTTTGAGATGGATTTTTGGACTTAATTTTTAAGGGCATATAATCTCTATCATGGAGATGATGAATATGAAAAAATAAGTAAATTTTAAAACCTAAAAATAATAATCCTATTAAGAAAACATTTGGACTGTTAGTTTCCATTATTTTTAGATGAAACACCTACTTGCAACCATATTTAAGATAGATGCTTTATATTTTTTAGACTGCATATGTAGTCACGAGGTCCAGCCTGCATGGGTAAATTTTCCATAATCTATATATTTCTTCTATTAGTATAATCATGAATAAATTGAAAGTTACTCATGTTTCTCTCTTTACAAACACCAACGCTAATGAATGGAAGTCCCATAGAAGACTGAAAAACAATGGGCAGGTGGTGATGGCAAATCTGGCAATGGCAGAAGGGGGGTGAGAAGGCAAATCAGATTTAAGGCAAATATGCTACAGTAGAATCGATTCAAGATTATCTAATGGTGCAAATCCGAGATTGATTCAGCAAGTTCATTAAAGAACCGCTTGTAGACAATAACAAATAGGATCGAGCAATAGCAGACTCCAGTACACAAAATTAGGTGATAATGATCTAGGGCTTTAATACCATGTTAAAAAATCTTTATTTTTTCTGTATTGAACTTGTGGGGAAAAAAATTATATATATATATATATATATATATATATATAATATACGCTGGTCGTTGCAACTACATATCGACGACCCGAACCGACCCTATACTTACAACTCGTAGGTCGTATCTAATGATCACGT